ATATACTATACATTTCTTTATAATCTTCATATATTGATTTTTTATTATTTGTTATTTTATATATTTTAATCATTTCTTTAAGAAATGTTTGTATACGTCCATTTAATATTGATAAAAGACGTTGTGCTTCTTGTGCAAATGTTTCATTATAATCATTAGGATCAGAACTTGTTCGATATTTTTCTATAATACCTACGCATTCTTGACATTGAAATGATGCGCGCAAACCTTGTTGAGAATATTTGAAACATGATGAATTATCTGTTGCATCTATTAACAACAAAAAAGTCTAGATTTCACAGTGATATAGATAGGTTGTGGATAAATATGAAGAGTTACCATACCTACATCCGACACCCACACCCACCCAAATTAATAACAAAAAGTTCAGTTCTTATCGTTATAGTGAATTGAACAACACCGCATTTTATGAATTTTTTGAGAATGTTTTAAGATTTTTTTTTAATAAAGAGTTTTTATTTAGGGTGTGGGTGTGGGTGTTGGTGAGGGTGTGGGTGTCGGGGTGGATGTGGGTGTTTGGGTGTGGCTGTGGTTATGGTTGTGGCTGTGGCTGTGGCTGTGGCTGCGGCTGTGGCTGTGGGGTGTGAGTGTAGTTCCTTTCCACACCCACACCCACACCCACACCCACACCCACACCCCACACCCACACCCCACACCCACACCCCACACCCCACACCCGAAACCCCCGAAAGGTTTCGCACCAAACTTCAACTGTCTAAAATTGTTTGTTATTGACTCGGGACACATTTTCGAATTTTTCCTAGTGGCCTGTACGGAACCTAAAATGGTTCCAAGAATTGCAACGAATTCGAAACCTTTTTAGGTTCCGTGCTAAGTACAAAACTTTTTTTCCGTCCAAAATACCTTTTTGGGTTTAGTACTGCACCTCTTTTTTTTTCAGTGTAGGCTATTCATCAACTGAAGGTGGGTACTTTAATGTTGATTTTGACTCCATATCCTATCAAGACACGACCATTACCATGGAGACACTAACGAAGCTCATTCATGATTCTTATCAATTATGCTGATGTTTTAGCGTTCTCGCATCCTCATACTCGTGTATATCTGTGATAGAGAACAGTAAAGAAAACAAAAGATGATATCGTGATAAGTTAGCAAAAATCCAATGACAGCATTTTTCTGCGCTTGGCTTTGTCCAAGTGATAGTAGTCATATCTTTTGTTTTTTTTTTGATAATTTTCTCTACTAGAAATAAGAGGAGATACTTAATTCGAATCCAGATATACGTAAACCTGCAAAAGCATTAAGACAGTTCCCAAACAAATGAAATATATATTATCACGGTCATCATTGTTTTTCATTTATATTCGAAATGAGAATACGTAGCTGCTCAACTTACCCAAATAAAAGTCGTTAAATTATTCACAAATCCGTTGATTCGACGAAATCCAAGATTCATTGTCCTATATTGACTACCAAGAAGTTTATGTCTGCATTAATGCATATCTGAGTATAGTGAACATCATGAGTATTTTTACCGATGAAGTTTTACCTGGGTTTGCACCCATCGACTTGACTCATTTTACTCATTCTGTTACTTCTAGGAGAAAAAAATTCCCGCGTACACATGGTATTGTATGAAAGGCGTCATTGGCATAACACAAATTATTTCTCGACGGTTTATTCCTTTTTTCACATGAGATTTTTTCCATGAATGACGGTTTTTACCAAATTGCACATTGGATGAAAAGTTTTCCTTTACTCCAATTATTAAAATCTCACACACTCAGCTGTATTTATATAGCCATATTCTTCATTCATTCCTGTACTATTTTACCCAGCCTTAGCTTTAATTTGATGGTAGCAACGGGAAAATCTCAATCGAGGATGTTAATCACCATGTCAGTGTCAAATCCCTTTTCCTTCACAAACCATTTTAAAGCCTTTCAACCCTTCGAGAGGAGTCCAGTAGATAGATCTTTTACTTACATTATAAATTTATATTAACGATTCTTTAGATTTACTTCTTATACGCGGTTTCCTTTCTGTCTTTCAAATAGAAAATGGCAGATAACTACTTGATTATCATATATCGTGGACAATCAAATAGATGTCCGACTCCTGCTCCTGAAATGAAGATTAAAGACTTCATTAATTTGCTCAAGGAAGATTTCGACAGTAATACGACTAAGTCCTTCAATCTGTTTTATAACAAGGATCGATTGTTGCCATCACGAACAATTCATGAATATGGTCTCAAGTCAGGCACCGAGCTTCGATTGGAAGAAAGCGTATCTCAAGCTTCTATAAGTATTTGTATTCAAACATTAGCTGGTGAACAGTGTGAATATAATATGAACGACAATGCTACTCTGGAGGATTTATATTCTAAACTCCTTACTGATGAGAAATTCTCGTTTACCAAAACTTTTCCAATTCTCTTCAATCATCGTATGCACCTTTGGAAATCGAAGGAATTACTTACAAGTTACTTGAAACTACATAAACGCAATAATGAGTCCCAAAACAAAGTTCCAGATTTTTATCTATTTGAATGTCAACGTCAATTTGAAACAAACTATCTTAACTACCAAAAAGCAGAAGAAGGTGAACTATTTCTGGCTCATGATTTTTGGCAACCGTTCGGCTGTGTGGCACAAAATAAAATGGCCATGTCAATATTCCTTATTTCATTGAGAGTTCTAAAGATTGCATTTTTAAGTCCATCGGAGACAGAAATCGATGCAATCAACTTTAATCATATTTCTAAATTTCTGCTTGTTCTTCGTCAATTTCTGTTTCCACCAGCATGTCTAGCATTATATCATTTGCTAGAAGGAGAATGTTTTCTATTCGAGAAACAACTCGTTAGTGAAGCATTCTTTCGACTCTTTCGGAAAATACTACCACAATCTATGGTGAAAGATAGTGATGTGTTTCTGTACACGCCTCATATTTTTTATCATTTATTCGAAACTACACAGCATTCTTCAACAAAATTCGATTGCTACCCATCTGTTCAAATTCTATCAAATGTCGATGATCAATTTAGCATCAAGGACTTAATCCATGAACAAAAAGAAGAGAGAATCAATGGGAATTCTGTGTGCCAATCTGATTTAATTGCTCTTCTTGCATGGATGAGACAACAATCAGATGAAGATATTAGTAAAAAATTTTTTAAGTAAGTTATAAAATACCTTCTAATTTCGACAGCTTTAATTATTGTTTTTTTTAGAAATTATCGCATATGGGTTCCCATTGAACAGAACAATATGTTTTCTATTGGTAATGTTTTTGAACAGCGATCAAAAATTTTTAGGCTTTCAGAAGAGGAAATTAATAATATTCATAATCATCTGAAACAAAACCGTATTTATCGCCAATTCACATTTGCAAACTTGTCGACTTTCGACAAGAGTAAACATAATCAGTTCGTCCTACTTAAAAGTAATCATGTTGTGTATCTGATTGAACAAGAGAAAAGTGGAGATAATTATAAATGCTTTGATCCTTTCGGAGATCAACCACGAAATACTTTCAAAAAGGAAGATATTGCCAATGATGATGAATTGAACCAATATTCTTATTTTCCTGTTCGAAAAAGTTTAGAAGACACACGACTTATCAAACAGATTACTGTCTTGCTGTTCGATGTTAGTAGTTCAATGAAGTCAATGGTAGGAAATCAACGAGACAACCAGCAAAGCTTACTTGATCTTAGTACTATTGCACTTGGTATATGGTGTGATAAAATTATTGGCTACCAATTTTCGCAAGCTATTGGACTTATATATTTTGGTGCTAATGGCATTCCAATTAATCAGAAGTGTCCAATCTCGAAAGATCTGAGCCAACTTGAGAAGGCATCAAGCAATCTACCAAGATGTGGCGACACGACTCCTATGTACGATGCCATCGAAATGGCTATTCAATCAATTATTAGCTTTCGCAAGCATAACGAAAAGCAATTGAGTACTGAATGTCGTTCTCTGATTGTTTGTTTTTCAGATGGTGAAGACAATAGCAGTGTAAAAGCATCATTTGAAACAATTAAATCGAAATTAAAAAATGAAAAGATTGTTTTCGATACCATTGCGTTTATGAAACATGAATCGTCAAACCTAGTTCAACTCTGTGAGGCTACAAAAGGATTCTACTATATAAATGTACCTTATGATAAAATGGAGATGACAAAGTTATTTGAACGCGAAGCATCACTTATGGTTTGCTTACGTGATGAGAAGTCACATGTAAAAGTTGAAAAACCAGAAGTTCGTCCAACAGAAAAGCTTTATCAACCTGCCATTAATGTTAGGAACGCCAAAATGAATATAAATCAAGTGTTGACCATGTCAAATCGTAAGGTATCAAAAGAACTTGATGATTTGAAAAAATCATCTTTAGATAATTTTACTGTGTTTTTAACGGAAGAAAATCTACTCTTCTGGAAAGTTATTATGAAAGGACCTGATGGTACACCATATGCCGGTTATTATTGGTTGCTGTCAGTAGAATTTTCATCTGACTTTCCTTTTCAGCCACCTAATATACGCTTCATAACGCCTATTTATCATTGTAATATCAATGATGATGGTCGCATCGGTCATGGTANTGTCATGATATTTTACAAAGCAAATGGACTCCTCAGACGACAATGCGGGTTGTATTTCAAGAGATACTCAATTTAATACGTGATCCCAATCCTGATTATGCTCTTTCTGCGGTGAAAGGTGCTCAGTACAAATCAAATCGTTTGGATTATGAAAAATCGATTAAAGATCTGAATGAGAAAGAAGCAAAGAAAACAATTTCTGAAATTATGAAAGACTATAAATTAATTGAAAATTAATCTAAAAGTTTCATATGACAACATTGTTACTATATTATGTTTCTATTCTTAATAAATAATAGGATGTGGGTGTGGGGTGTGGGTATGGCTACACATCTGTTCCTCTCAACCCACACACCCCCCACCCGCCCTGATACACCTCACTTTCACACAGATTTCAAGATTGTCCGACAATAGTTTTGTGTTTTTACTATATTACGAATAAGTAAACAGAACATATCCATATTTCGAGAAAAATGCTTTTGATAACATAAAATGTAGTCGAACAGTCTCCACACGAAATAACACTTGGCAATAGTTGTGAATGCTTTTTTTCATAAATAAAGAGAAGCATTGCAATTTCTCTTTGATTTTGTCTTAATCAGTTGAAATGAGGAATGAATCGACAAAAACCAATCAGCTAAAAACTTTATTTACTTTTCAACAAAGACTTGGTCTTTTCCTTATTAGTTTTCGGATTAGAAATTCTATGTTAGGGTTTGGATGTTCGCGAAGACAGAACTTTCATCCACACCCAAACATATGTAGTCAAGTTTCTGTTTATGTATAAAACAATTTATATTAGCTAACTTATGGATGAGGGTGTGGGTGTGTGGGTGTGGTGTGGGTGTGGGTGTGGGTGTGGTTCAGACAGAAGAGAACATTAACGACCACATCAACACCCCAAACCCACACCCTTATCTAGTGGCCACCATGGAGATTCGAAAATTTTCACTATTTCGAGTATAACTCCGCTTTAGCAGAAAAAAATGAATGAAATTTTGATGCAAACGAGTTCTACTTACACTCAGTATGTCGGACTATTTACTATTGTCTTCACAGAGATATGACCTTAACAAAAATTCTGTAATATTCCAAGATATAATGTTAATCAAATCTTTATCAATGTAGTATTTTTTTCTGAAGTCATACAAAATTCTAGTCAATCTATGTTAGATGAGAGACTAGACACCGCTCTTCAAAAATATACAAACTCTACTTCTTTGTTTTAAAATATAACGAGAATAAAACCTAAAATAAAATGGGATCGAAACTTATGAAATATTCTTTATTACGCGTCGAAGGACCATTTCTCAATTGTTGTCATTTTATATAAGAATTTATATTAAATTTATTTTGTTCTACAGATAGATAACTAAAAGAAAAATAATATTACTATGAATATAGTTCAAAATTGTTGGCGAATGTTTTCTAATAAAGATTCCAATTGTTTAGTATCGTTACCGAGTAAATCAAGAAGTTGTTTCCGAGCTTTTTGTACTATACCATGCCACATTGCTGAGAACATGGTGTATCGTGTTTCAAGTGTCACTATAATGATAGCTGAAATCAAAATTTCTTGATTCGTATCTGATGAAAAGCTTGACGGTGATTTTCCGAGAAGTTTTTCAATATCTGCGGCAGTTAAATCCCATAAACCATTAATTTTTTGTTTCGTGATCAAGTGGCGAACAATATTTTCATCACCTGTTGGCCATTCTTCATCTTTTTTATAAGGAATTGTACTTGTTATGGAGGAAGTGGGGATACTTATCTTAGATGCTGCAGAACACGAATCTAAAATTTTCTCGTTTGATTCAGAATCACTGAGGGCTTTCCATGCTTTATAGCGGTCAAATTTTGACGCAGATGGCATTAACAAAAGGCACTTTCTTCTATTGACTAGAGAAGAACAATTTACAGAAGCTGTCTGTATTGATGATGACGGCATACAGCAAAGCATCGGCGCAGTTCACTTCGGAATACGTTGAAAGCTCGTGACACCAGATGTTCGTAAGTGCTGATCATCAGTTGATATTTCAATTGGTACTTCGCGTAAGACCATATCAACATTGCTACCATTCGTTCATTTTTCAACACCAATGACAGCCGTGTGTAGACTCAAAATTTGATATTTGAGTGAAAGATCAATGATGCGTTTCTTTGTCATTTCTTTTTCTTCAGTCATCATTATTGGTGTTGTTGATGGCGGATCTTGTTGAAATCGAGGTTGTAACGAACCTACATTGGTTTGCTTAAGTTTAGAATGTTGTAATTCGAGAATGAGTGCTTTGGCAGCGAGTCGAGCAATTGTTCCATTGATGACCACTTTTGGTATAGAATCAATTTTTGCTTGACCTATTTGACTTCGATCAGTATTTAGTTCGACACTTGAGTTATGATTGAAAACAAGCATTGTATCATTCACAAGTGCATAAGCAATCAGACGATCATTTACATAGACTGGTGGCATTTTTGTTGGTGCACTCATCACTTCAGTACCAAAATTCCATTTTACTTTAATGTATGTGATACAAGATTGTAGAGCCTTTTGTAATTGTTCACCAACATAAACATCGACATTACTTTTTGGTGGAATAAAAACAAAACGTCCATTTGTTGCTCGAGCAAGACCTTTAACAAGTGAATGACTTGGTGAATGACCCAAACCAAATTAAAAGATTCGTGTATGTGTGGCCATCGAACGACAGAAATCAAGTACTTCATTGACATTTGATATTTCTCCATCGGTGCACAAGAA